AACTTCTACTACTTATGTTGGTCAAGGGTTCATTCTAAAGAAACTTCTACTACTTATGTTGGTCAAGGGTTCATTCTAAAGAAACTTCTGCTACTTGTTTGATTTTCATCCTCCATGGTTCCTTCTGATCAATGCCTTAGTTTATTCCTTGAAAGGTTTAATCTGTCCAGCGAATTTATACAGTCAAAACTAAAATATAAAAGGTGAACAAATGAGACTGAAGTACTCATTTCTGACATGAAAGTTGAAACTTACATTTCTCTAGGTCCATTCATTATGAGATATGGTTCAGATTTGATACTCTCAAGGACCAAACTAAGGCATTGATGATTTGATTCTTAATATTATCATTAACTATTAGAGGTGGAAGAAGGAAGAGTTATGACTCGATCACAGTTTTTTATAAATATTTCATGTCTTTTCTGGCAGTACGATGCATTCGATATCGGTTTCATAACAACAGATGACTTAACTAATGCGGATATTTTGGAAGCAACTTATCCTGCTGTAGCAAAGAGACTACATGGTGATTGGATTAAGGATCCTGCAATTCCTATTGTCACTGGCTTCCTTGGAAAGGTCTTTCACTTTTACGTACTCTAGAATGTTTTTTTTCCTATCTTCCCACTTGAGTTTCCGTAAGGAGATTCTGGGAAATAATTATTTCCCTAAACTGTTCATAGGGTTGGAGAACTTGTGCTGTGACTACATTGGGCAGAGGTGGTAGTGATTTAACTGCCACAACCATTGGTAAAGCACTTGGTTTGCGAGAAATTCAGGTTAGTAAAGAAGTAGAAAATCGAATGACAGTGCAAATGAAAATTTTCATATGTGAGGTTGCATGATTGGATCTTTAATTATGTCATCAAGAATAGGTCCCTAATTTTCTCATACTCTTCTTTTATGTTGTAATTTTCCTCTAGAAGCTCAATAGAAAAACATCACAAGCTTTGATAGCATGTTTCATTAGTTTTTCAAATTATCCAGCAGAAGTTTAAGATTCTAGTTATCCGTTGATGACAGGTATGGAAAGATGTGGATGGTGTCTTGACATGTGACCCTAATATATATTCAGGTGCAGAACCTGTGCCATATTTGACTTTCGATGAGGCAGCTGAACTTGCATATTTTGGTGCCCAGGTATCCTCTTCTGTTTCTGTGAGATTGTACATGACAAAATCAGCAAAACCAAACATATTATGGTGTAATCTTGGTTTCTTTTTCCATAGGTCCTACATCCACAGTCTATGAGGCCCGCAAGAGAAGGTGATATACCTGTTAGGGTTAAAAATTCGTACAATCCTAATGCTCCAGGTACCCTAATCACTAAATCAAGAGATATGAGTAAGGTCAGTAGCACTATGCTCTTGGAATATGTAAAAGCTAGCTATTAATCAGCACTTTGAAAGCCTAATGTCTACCCTCCGTATTTCAGGCAGTATTAACCAGCATTGTTTTGAAACGTAATGTAACCATGTTAGACATTGTTAGTACTCGCATGCTGGGTCAATTTGGATTTCTCGCTAAGGTAATATGACTTTACAATTGATATTTGATGCTGCTGTTTTTAGTCATTCCTTGAGCTGGCTCAGAGTTAAAATTTTGATTGCTTCATGGTTTCAGGTGTTCTCGATTTTCGAGGATCTGGGTATATCTGTAGATGTTGTAGCTACTAGTGAAGTTAGCATTTCCTTGACGTTAGATCCTTCAAAGCTTTGGAACAGGGAGTTGATTCAGCAGGCAAGCGTATGACATCATTCTCAATTGGATGAAATGATTATACATACATATAGTAAATCAGCATTGAAAATGGCTCCATATCAAGTTGTCGGAGTTTACTTGCCAACTTTTTTTAAACTCGTATATCATGAGCTAGTATTCAGTAGTTTATACTTGGTCCCTTTGAGTGGTATAACTGGCAATATTTTGCTAGTGTTCACCTTGACTTTTTGCTATTTGGTTTTAACGACCAATTGCAAGTGGTGATCACTAGGATTGCATTTAGAGGTATATATGATTTTAAGAAGCATGGCATGCTTTACATAAAAAATGGTGGGATCAATTGTGTACTAAGCCTTGAATGGAATACATCGCAACTCACAAGTTTCCAACTAGTGATATTAAATGGTGTCGGTGCAGGAACTCGATCATGTTGTGGAAGAGCTTGAAAAAATTGCTAAAGTGAATCTTCTTCAGCACAGATCGATTATTTCACTCATTGGGAATGTTCAGAGATCCTCACTTGTATTGGAGAAGGTATATACTTTTGCCTGCTGTCCTACAATGCATATGATTCACTCTGGTTGGCTATTCTAGTGGCCAACCACCTGCATGGCCTGAGGAGTCTGGAACTCAGAAAGCATTCTTTCCACGATGGTGATTTCTTGTATTGACCATTTCCTTATGTTGGTGTAGGCATTCCGTGTTCTTCGCATGAATTCAGTGAATGTTCAGATGATATCCCAAGGAGCATCGAAGGTGAATATATCTCTGATAGTAAATGACAGTGAAGCGGAAAGATGTGTGAAAGCCCTGCATTCGGCTTTCTTTGAGGAGGATGATATCTCTGATATGGACCGAGGCCATTAGTTTGGATAACTTCAAAATTTTCCCCTTGACCAGTTTTTTAGTATATTTACCAATGGTAGTAGGGTTGGAGGAATCATGGAAAGGCATTTCTGGCTATAAATAATTATGTTGTTGTCAGTATCACTATTCTAATCCTTGATTGAAAACAATTTGTATCATTGTTTTGATCCCAAGATGTTTGTTGAATGAAGGTAGTATCAGTCATTTATGTTTCTTGAGCCAATTGGAAATTCTTTCTTTTACAATTGTTGGTCTTTAATATGCTCCAAAGCAGGTCTTGGATTATTACACTTGTTCTTATTCTTCAGCCAACAAAACATGCATACTCCAAAATCATATAACTTAGACAGATGCAGAGACCTGTAGTTCAAAAGGGAAGATTACAAGCATATCTATATACACACGAAGGCTGCATTTACACCTCCATTTCATGTACAATTTTACATAACACGACATTACCACCACCAGAAAGTAGCCCCAAGCTTTAGAAATATATTTCAATCTAGGTGAACAACATTGTATGGAGACCATTAATGTTTTGTGTTTGGGGTATGTAGGCTAAAAATGGAACCAAAGAGAAATTATAAACTAGAGTACCATACTGGAATGAAATGTAAACGAAAAGCCGAAAAGCCAACAACTTTACTAGTTAAGATAAAATTAAGCAAACTATTTTGCAAGTCAAAGCACATATTCCACACAGCATATATAATCCAATATGGAGATGAATTTAATTTAATCCTCTCATGTTTCCGGTTACTTGATGAATACAACCTTTCTCCTTTGCATGAACAAGGAGTTTAACAAAATTGTCTACATGTTTCTCGTCTCTCTTTTACTTCCAACCGTTTGAAGCGCACAGCTTGGATTCCTTTTCAGTCGGTGATGCGTATGCAGAAGTGTTTTAACAACAAATAACTATCATTATCAATAGATAAGCATTTCATTGGGTAACAAAAGGTTCACTATATCATCATCTGTAAACAGAAATCCTATTCTAAACTTCACTCGGGGACCAATCTTTCTTTGGGGGCACCATTTCATCTGCTCCACAACTCTCAAGGACTGATGACATCATGGAGTGGGAGGGTGGTAATTCTGGATGGGGAAATAGAAGCTTCAGTCGAAATGCGTCGACGCCATTCAAGTAGTATCTAAATAGCCGTTTTGCTCTTATAAACCCAAGGCGGCCATATAACGCAAGTGCTCCCTTATTTGTAACTTCTGCTTCTAATGTTACCTTCAAATGAAATAAGATGTTATCAGATAACTTCCCTGTTTCTAATATCTGACAACTATCATAGCAAATCAGAACAAGTTCGAGTAAGCTAAACAAGAGTGACGTGCATGTTAGCTTGAAGAGTTGTAACTTACAACTATGATTGGTTGGAGCAAATGATGTAATTTCATTAGTGCTACCGGTTGATCATTTCAGTCATAAACTTAATCTGGGATCAAAATGATTTCTTGCCTTCCGTATGAAATTCATAATGATTAGAAAGAATACACGACTTGCTTGTAGGAAGTTGATAGTTTATGTCGTTTAGAATAGATGCTAAGATGTTAATGGTTAGGGGAAGTAAAAACAATTTCCCTTATGTCCTTATAGCACAAATCCTTCTAGGTAGACTAATAATCCCGATTACTGATTTTATAGGGAACTTATACAGGCATAGACATACACATCTATAGAATGGCAGAAACATTGCGAAGTGATCCATAAGAAAGAAGTGTCAATCTCTCGGAACAGGCAACCGTACTGACAATTAAACATGGAATTGGTGGCATTAAAGCAACTGCAAAAGAGCAACAGCTGCCTGAATATAAAACTTGATAGAAAATAGTGAAGAGATAGCATCACGCAGCATAACATGATGCGTTTGCATCTAATCATATCATCCTACACATCGGGCATGCTGCAAATCATAAAGGACTGACAAAAAGAACATATTGAAATTAACATAATACCTCTTCACAGCCTGATTCCATCATCACTGTAATGGATCTGGTAACAAGTTCTGTAGCTGCAATTCAACTCTAAATGTTAATAAAACAATGTCCATGTGTGCATTTAACACAATTAATTGCAAAGGCCAGTTAGTCTGTCCAGAGTAGCCACGTTTCTATCGAAGTGCTCATCATGCAACTATGCCAATAATCAGTGAAAGAATACTTAAAACCTCTAAACTCGCATATACATTCTAGTCAAATTATATAAGTCATTACAGAGGGTGTGCCTCAGATCAAAACATAATGCTAGTGTTTGCTGAATCACATGATTTATTGTGAACACAAAATGAAGTGGAAATTATGGATTTGGAGATTGAAAGTTTGTAGCTTTGAAGTTGAAAGAAGGTGTAAAAAGGGATAAAATACCAATGCCCTTGTGACGGTAAGGTTTGAGGACGACGAGCATAGCAATGTAGCCTCTGAAAGTGTTACGGTGCTCTCCCATCTTAGAAACAACGGTTCCGATGCATTTTCCTTTGTGAAAAGCCTGCACACAAGACGATATAAGGGCGTGGAGATGATTACAAGTGAGTAAAAAGAAAGAATGATGGAAGGTAGATGGTACGAGGAAGGAGAGATTGGGCCAGAGATAGACAAAGTAACGATAGGTAAAGATGGAGTAGGGTTCGCTGAGTTCTTCATCAACGAGGCGCATGATAAGGGGCAAGTGATGCTCTCCCCCATAGCTCACGTACTCTATCTCATCGATCATATTCATGGAGGACCCATCCGTCTCCATGGTTTAGCGTTAGCGTGAAAGAAGCCAAGTCATAAAAATCAAAACAACAAAAGCTAGGGTTTTGGGGCGATGATGATGGATGAATGTGACTCGAGTCGAGGTTGATTGCTGTTTTATATTAAAAATAAAATTCATTCGGTCTCTTATTACAAATAACAACCGACTTTGCATTCCAAACAAATTGAAATGTTTGATTCATAAGTTTAGTTGATTGTCTGCCTGAATTTTAATTTGGAATTCTATTTTCATCGGTTATATTGACTCTAATGATCGTCATTACTACCGTCACGTCCCCGTGGCTGCCACTGTTACCAAACTAACATCATCACATCACCGTTCCAGATGTCGGTAACAATTGGTTCGCTCTCACCCTTCTTAGTCCATTGGCGTAAGTATTTACTATTTGTCTATCTTTATATTAATCTATCTATCTACAAAAACAAAAACAAAAACAAAAACAAAAACAAAAAAAAACAAAAGATAATTGGTGGAACAAGGAGCGTATTACTGGAAACGAGCATCAAGAAA